AACCCTCCAACAGCCCTTCATAACCACTAAGCAGGTATACAACATAGTCATGCATCCACACCAAACAGTTGGAAGGCCTCTTGCCAACAGGTGCCGATTGTGCAAGTATACAACATAGTCGTGCATCCACACCAAACACTTGGAAGGCCACCACACCATTCAGAAAGAAAGTTCAGTGGACCAATAACCTCAAGACAACCCCACACCTTGACAAGAGGAGACATCAGCAGCAGCCTGCAACTGATTTATTTGACTTTTCCCCAACCTCCCTACTTACGAAGTTCTCAAGCAAGTCTGAAACCTCCTGCTGCACATGACCCACTTGTGTGAAAACAGCCGCTGCACATCATGAAACCGAACAGGGCAGTAATATGATGATTAGACGCCATCAGAAGCAACATTCACGTGTTTCTGCCAATAGGACCAGAATACACAAAACCCAGCTTGACCACGTGACAACACCAGTGCGCACAGCAGGTCTACCTGCAAGCTTCTCAAAATAGCCGCGGCTCAAGTCTCCCTGACATGGGGAGAAGCAGGCAAAAGGCCATCCAAACAAACCCCGTACAGGTTAATGATGGCACCTTGGTGAAAGCTGCTTTCACCATAAACAGTACCCAAGAACGATTGGTCAGGCAACCATGCATCGACATACAGAAGAGCAACACCTGTTATTACCCTGAACCAGTCCTACAGATAACCACCACCTCTCACCAAACTCTTCTTCTAAGACCCAAAAGAGCAACAAGGACAAATGGACCAACAAATGCCCTGCAAGACTTGGCTAAATCTCCTCAGTTTTGATAATCTCTCTGCGTGACATATAATCATTGTCCGCAGGTCCTTTTCTCGTGCCTATACTCTAGGATCATGACTTAAGTAGGCAAAGTCAATACACCAGGGTGTGCCAAAACCTAATTGCTGAAGCAGTTAAATCATACATGCGCGCATCGAGATGCGCTGCTCCACGCACATGTACCCCACAGTGCCAAGCGCATGGTGCGCGCTCACTGTGCGTGCCGCACTCATGAAAAAGGGGTCCAAAAGAAAAAAAGGGTTGCAGGGACTGGACTATGCCCACCTCCCCCCCTGCGTAAAATAGACAAATCACACCCGAAATTTTTTTTGCGTCATGCATAGTCCAGGAATTTTTTTGGGGGAAACTCGTGCTGCTGTCAAAAACTTCCTTTCCTGTAAGGGTCTTAACGCTCCTTGCATACAGAAATGATGAGCCTGCATCTGGTATCGAAATGACGAGCATGCCTGACACTGAATACATCTGTGCTTCCCATGACATACAGGCTCTATGTTTGCAAGACATATAAATGCAAGGAATATGAGCAAGAGCGATATACAGAAAACCAAGTTGCGAAATCACACAGATGTCCAAGTAGTCATGTGCGAGCAAAGAGTGCAAATGCACCGAGATTCCATCCAGATAAGAGCAACACAATGAACTCACGAGCCAATGTCCAAGCCCTCAGGCCACACAGACACCGTATCCAATGTCGATCCTACTCTGTCTGGCGCCCAGCGCCCAGCCTACACTACTCGCCTATCCTACTACACCAGCGTTCACGCAAAAGACTCACACCTTGAAGACCAATTTACATGACGTCAACAGCATAGCTGACCTCCCTCATGCACCAGGTATGTATCTCGTCTCTACTCGTCACCATGTTCTCAAAGAATATATATATTTTCTTTTTGACCCATTTTTGGGCCCAACCGGAATTTCGGCTGGACCACCGGGGGTCCAATCGACCCGGTTGGATCCAGCCCGGTCCACCCGGCCGGTTGCCGGCACAGCCATGGTTTCAAGGGGATTGTACTGCCCAAGCTCTTCGGAAGCACTAAACCATGCACCTAACCCCAGGGACCCTTCCATAAGGAATACAGCCATGCTACCGGTTGAAAATTTGAGGATACTGACCTAATGGTTGGGAATTTGAGGACACTGACCAGCCTACATTTAAACCACCAATACGTTTCCCAGCCACTTTCCTCCATCATGCACCTCAGACTTTCAGGGCATGGCCTACCAGAGCTAAATGGCTGGGGGTGCCAGCCACAAATGAAAACACGCCAGTTCATTTTTTGGGAGGGCACAGGGCTTTTCAAGGCTCAGAATAAAAAAAGGGTCATAAGTACTGGCGTTACATAAAAGTATTCACCAGCGCATTCGTTGCTGCCATGACCTTGTGCTCATGACGCATGCAGGTACGGAAACCAAATGACAAGGGAAAGTCATACTCTTTCTCAGGATTCATAACTTCCTATAGACTCACAACCCCCGGTGGAGGATGTGACCTCACAGCTGATACTCAAAAAAAGAAAAGAAAGACGCATTGTCCAGCCTTCCTTGCTTAAGTGGGCTGGTTCCTCACCTTCGCAGGAAACCTTGAGTGTTTAGGAAGTTGTGATCAAACCAAAACTCGAGGCTCACATAGAAGCTAAGAGTAGGAAATCAATAGGCATTCCAGCACTCCACTACTCACTGACAGCACTTTCTTTCTGCATCACATTCCATGCATACAAGACGTACAAATTCACTTTTTGAATTCTTCAACCATGACCACCCACAGTAATGAGCCCACTTATGACAATAGGCCCACCAGGCTTCAATACTTTTGGCTGTCACATACATCCACCCAAATGAGACTATAAGCTCTGTCTAAAGCATCATAATGAGCTTGTGAAACTGTTCGGAAAACATTGCTTTATCTCTGCGTCTGTGAAAATTTGTTTCATTGCCGGCAATATATCCTGCAGTACTTTCCACTTGTTAATTTTGTTTTGTTTGCCCAGAACCGAGTTGACTATGGCCGTAATCTTTCCATCAGCCCACTCCATCAGAGACACCACATCTTCCCCCCATGGAACTAGTTGGGCAGTCAGACATAGCACTCACATATTTCTGAATGGTCGATTTTGCCAAAAGCCTCCGTGAAGTAATTTGCAAGCTCCTTTGACGCTGCAGCAAACTCTTCAAAGGTTACAACCCCACAGGCAAACAATGTGTCTGCCAATTAGTCCACCACCACTGGTACTGTTCATTCTTCTATTAGCTACAGTTTGTTTCTCTTTCCTTCCAGACTTTTCTAGCCACGCTGCTGCATCTGGACTGTGGGACTTGGCTTTGAGGCCGGGTACCGGTTGGACTTTGACCTTTCTGGCCTGAGGGGTACCCGACGCGACCTTTTCCTTGAACTCGGACTTGGGGCCTGCAAAGTGAAAATCATTTTTGTCTATCAACCCTTATGAAAATAATAGTCTCTCTCTCTCTCTCTCTCTCTCTCTCTCTCTCTCTCTCTCTCTCTCTCTCTCTCTCTCTCTCTCTCTCTCTCTCTCTCTCTCTCTCATCCCCACCCACCCCCTTGTGCCCATGTCTGAGCCCCCGTCATTGCCTGCATTCGTTTGTCCATGTGAACAAGTGAGTTTGTGTGTATTTGTGTGTGTTTGTGTGTGTTTGTGTGTGTTTGTGTGTGTTTGTGTGTGTTTGTGTGTGTTTGTGTGTGTACATGCATAGCTTGCATGCTTGCTTCAAGTGTTGAACTGGCACGGCGCAACCTAGACCTAGAACACTGGCCTTGGAATACCGTGTCTGAACCAACCAAACACAACCTAGTACATGCAACAACCAGGGCAGCAAAAGAAAAAAGGATACAGCTCTTATCTACTGGGCCACCGGAAAACATCAGGCATATCAATTACGCACGGAGAGAGAAAACTGAACAGCTCCAGGTAATTCAGAAATATACCATACATCTGGTCCTGGCAGGATCCAAACACAGGTCTGTTGTCAACAGTCCATGGGTGCACCATTCAGTCACACAAGCTGGGTTCTTTTGCTTTTCAAGCTGTGCGTCCAAATGCCGCTTCAGAAGAGGCATGGGAGTTTGTTCTGGAATCCAACTAGCATGAATCAAGGAGAGAAGGCCCAATGTAAAGACATCCTCTTAAGCGATGAGGGATGACATAAATTCCAAAAGAAAAGAAAAAACATTTGACCACCTCTGCAGCAAAAACCGAGCACAGCACTGAGATGTAATTGTATACAACAGATTCACTGCGATCTGAGGATTGCAGCAGCCACATTACACAAGGAACAGCCAAAGTCTTGACAACCACACCACAAAAATCAAACATCGCATGGCCAGAAGGAAGTGAAAACAAGAACTCTGCAATCAGACTCGCTTTCTTTCCCACTTCGCACTCGTGAACAGATGGTGCATCACACTGGCGCACAGCGCCCACTCAAAGCTCAGATATATGGAATTTGAAAACACAGTTCAGATACAAACTCGCTTCAACAGGCTATGGCGCATCAGCGCCTGCACACTCCCACTCTCGTCTCTCTATCCAACACCACTGTTCGCACTCACTCGACTCCGGATGACCCTGGATATCCCACACGCATACACACACTTTCGTAATCATACAGTTGCCTATCAGCTATGGCGGCTATGGCTGCTGTCCCTCTCCTAGCTATGTCTAACTATCTCCTTCAGCCCACTTCATCTTCGGGCACTCTGCAGACCACCTCGCACAAGCGCTTCCGCATGGCTTACGCAGGAATTAATGAATGCCTGGGCGCTGCCTCTTGATTAATACTTCTGTAAGTCGTTGGTCTGCCCCTTGATTAATACTTCTTTAAGTCGTTGGTCTGCCCCTTTCCCATGCCCTTGGTGCACACAGTCCCACACGGTACTTGCTTGACTGGACTGTGACTGACTGGGACCAGTACCGCTGACTGCATGGGTTTGCACTGCCAACTCGATGCAGTCGCACTGCCGACGTAACGCAGTTGGGCTCATCACTTCCCCCCTCTAGCCTCTATCCAACCGTGAGACAACTTTGAAAGGCCACTTCCAGACCTTCCGGAAGTCTGTGGGCTTGGCCTTTCGAACACTGTAGCAGCTACGTCCTTGACCTTTCAGGACTGTAGCAGCTACGACCTTGACCCTTCAGAACTACTACAGCTACAACCTCTGCTACAAACTTCACCCTACTCGACAGGACAACAGTTCAAGACCTGATGACTACACTGGCCTACGACGGACAACAGCAGACTCCTAAGACACAGGTCGCGGGTTCAAACGCACAGGGGTACTGTACACAGGTGAGTGAGGTCTAGGGATCGATCCCTGGGATCTGCATCCGTTACTACAGAGGTGAAAACCGATTCACTCCCGCCGGCCTAAATTTGAGGCCCTCCGAGAATATCTCAGTCCAAGGCAGGACCTTTACCCTTCTGATCTCTTTCGTAGGCTCGAACTATGTTGGGAGCTGTTTCTAGAGGTTCAGTTCTTGTAAACCAGCGGTCGTCCTCTGGTTCCTGATAAGAAAATCGGACCTTATACTGTTTCTGGGGACGACCTCTACCTCCTGTTCTAAACACGTCTTCACTTACAATGTCGTCAATGTCGTACCTTCCATCCATGTCCGGAGGGATCATGGACCTTCTTGATGGAAACTGTGGACTTGTGACACACGGCAACAACTTTGACGCATGGAACACAGGGTAGGTATGGAGGTGTGCTGGGACGGTCCATCCTCTCCGCCCTTAACTTCTAGAACTGGCCACAGTCCTTTGTATGCTGGCAGTAACATATGAGAAATGTTTTCCTCAGGAGCAAACTCTTCAGACTTGACCCAGACTAGGTCGCCAACTTGAAACTCAGTGCTTGTTAGCCTGTTCTATCATTCTATGTTGGGCCTTCCTGAGGTTCTCAACAACGGTCTGTGCGGTCTAAAGGACTTATGCAGCTCATTGGGAGTACGACAAGTGGCTAGCTGCACGCTGTTGTTATATGCACTGGCAACCTTGGGCAACATCTCATCCCGTTAATTTGATCTGGTCTAATATACATGCGCAGAACTTGCTGCAGGATCTTATTCATCTGCTCGGTCTGACCATTAGTCTCTAGGTGACGGCCAGACGACATTAACAAGTTTGACCCGTATACTTTCATTAACTCCTGCCAGTTCTCACTTGTAAACCCCGTATCTTTGTCACTGACTATGGACAATTGGATCTCGTGATCACTAACCCGAAAGTCAAAAAACTTATGAATGACTAACTTTGTATGGGCTTCTGCAGGTAATGGAACAAAAACAACATATTTGCAAAATTTATCCACTATTACCATGACTTGGCTCTTTCCATGCCTACTTTTGACGCCAGCATCCATGAAATCAATGGATACAGAATCGCCAGGCTGACCAGGTATAGGCAAGGGTCGAAGAAGACCTAGAGGGGCACGCGTAGTTGTGTTATTCCTCTGACAGACTTTGCAATTGCGAACGTACTTTATCCAGTCAGCTTTCATTCCTGGCCAAGTATACGCATGCATCAGATTGGCTATAGTCTTTTGCCAACCGAAATGTCCCTCTATGTCATGGCATTCCCCTAGGATCAAACTACGGATCTCCTCACTATTAGGGACGCACAGACGATATACTACGTTGATCTTCTCAAACACTAATCCTTCTGTAGTGCGATAAACTGGTTCAGTTTCTGGGGCCTCCTTAACTTTCTTGACGAGGTCACTATAATAGGGTCCTGCGCATACACCTGTCTTATTTTCTCTTGCAGGTCTCTCCCTATATCCAGATAGTGAATTGATCTCCTACGTAGAGCATCCGCAACCACATTATACTTGCCCTTGATTGGTTTGAGCTCAAAGTCATACTGATCTACCTCAGCGGCCCACCTCATTAGCTTAGATGTCATCTTGGCCTGCTTTTTCAGCCATCTAAGGGTCTCATGGTCTGAATAAACTTTGAAGTGCCTCCCAAGCAAATAATGCTTCCAGTGCTCTAAGGACTACCTGAGAGCACAAAGTTCTCTCCCGTAAGTCCAGGTAGCTACTTTCTCTGAAGGCATCCTCGCTGACATAAACTCTACGGGTCTATAGTCATTATCATCGTCATGCTGTAACACGGCGCCTATACCATACTAACTTGCGTCAGTGGTGACGACAAATGGCAAGGTCGGATCTGCCACCTTGAGGACAGAGTACTCTATCAACACTCGCTTTAACTTCTTAAGAGCGGATGTACAATCTTTGTCCCACTTCCAGATTGCATCCTTTCTGCGAAGGGGAGCGGCGATAGTGGAAAAGTTCCTCACGAACTTCCTATAATAATTAGCTAGGCCTAAGAACGACCATAATTTTGTCATTGTGAGGGGAGTCGGCCAATCTATAATCGCCGCTATCTTGCTATCCTTAGGCTTAATGCCATCTCCGTCTAAGACGTGACCCAAGTACAAGACTTGTGTCTTGGCCCACTCGCACTTCTTCGCATTGATCTTGACGCTAGTCTCTCTCGACTTCTCCAAGACCTGCCTCGAATAACCCTAATGCTCTTGGAGGGTCTTACTGAAAACCACTATATCATCTAGGTAGACTACAACAAATCTATCTAACCAAAGACCTAAACATATCATCCATACAGCGTTGGAATGAGGTTGGCACATTGGTCAGTCCAAAGGGCATCACGCGCTATGAACTCATAATAAGGCAACCTTACACTTGTCATCTGGATGAACTTCTATCTGATGATATCCGGACTTCAAATCTATCTTCGAAAAATATCTGCAGCCCCGCACTCAATCCAAAACATCATCTATCCTAGGCAGCGGCTCAGCATTCATCACGGTAATTGCATTCAAACCCCTATAATTGATACACATGCGTAACTCTCCCTCCTTTTTGGGGACAAACAAAACGGGTGCTCCCAAAGGAGACGAACTTGGCCTAATCCAACCCTTTTCGAGGAGTTCGTCTAACTGCTTACGCAACTCCTCTAACTCCCTTGGGGACATTCTGTAAATCGCACCCTTAGGAGTTTTACTGCCTGGCTCGTCTATACGCCACTGGATCGGCTGCGGCACTACTCCTGTCGACGGCTCTGCTAAGTCTTTAAACTCTTCCAGCAGCTTGGCAATAGTTGGGTCCATTGGCTTATCCTCTTTAGGCT